GAAAACCCTCTCCACGACGACAATCTTGTCGAGAAAATCCAGATCGAAAATAACGAAAAAGTTCACTGCCGAGCATCTGCAGCCGGCAGATATGAAATTGTCAAGAACAGCCGCCAACGTCAATTTCATTTACGCACAGAGTCGGGCCTGGAGTAGTCTCCCTCTGTGATAGTCGCAAGTACCAATACGTCCAGTCGAGGAGAATCCACCATCGGAGATGGAGTTTGACGAGGAAGTAGCCACAAAGCTCCTGGAACAGGACAAACAACAAAAGACAGTCCTGCAATTATTCAACATCACCTTGGGTTCCAGTCTAAAGCAAAGGGTCAAAAGAATCTTGAGATTGAAGGTGAGTTCTTTGAGCCTGAGATTGAAATGAAACTCTTGAATGATCAAAAGAATGTTCACGAGCAAAGAGTTGAAAATTATGTTGAGATGAAGTGAGGCGGCGGCGGCGGCGGGAGAGGAATTGGGAGATGAGGGTGGAGGATGAGATGACAAGTTTGCTTTTTTAATTGGGTTTGGTTTGGTTCTGGGTTGGGTTGGGTCTATGGGTTGGGTTTAGTGACGTGCCGGGTTGAGTTTGACCATTTTTGGTCCAAAATGGCGCTGATTAGGCGCTCCCGTTAGCCATGTCAACATATAACGGACTTTGTTAACGGAGTTGGACGGAGACTAACGGGAATTAACGGAGAGTGACTAAATGTGACCTATTTTAGTAATTTGAGTGACCAAAATTGATATTAATTTTTTTTAGTGACTAAACATGTCACGATTTAGTAATCTCAGTGACCAAATGTGTTATTTACCCAGTTTATATATATATAATTGAAGTGAAGTTACTGTTGACTAAATTATTACATTTTGATACCCAAAATTAATTAAATTACAACTTAGTTACTATAATATACATTTTACATTTTGATACCCTAAATTTAATTTTAATGTAAAATCATTGAACAATTATGTTTTGGTATCATAATTTTATGAGATTTTCGTACCTATAATTTTTTACATTTACATATTGATTCAATGTTTAGATTTCACTTAAATTTATGAATCCAATCCACCAATCCTTTTGAACAAATTCATGAATCAACTCCACTGTAACATAAAAGTATAAATTTAGTTTGTACCATACAAGATGTTGTATCACTCAACTGTAGGAGAAGATTCGACCATTTTATATTTGCTCATTACGTGAAACATTAAAAAATGATAATAGAGAGATGATTCTAAAATATTGCAAGAGCGAATTTATAAACTCATTTAGTACATTTACGAGGTACTAAACAAACTTCTACTAACTATATGTAACAAAATATGTGACATCTACATAAGCAAGTGTCAATAAATTGCTACAGTGAAAAGGGTTGAATGTTGTATTGACGGCCAACTAAAAGAATTGATCAAAACATTTCCATCATCTAGTTCCTCTTTGTTTCATTTTTCACTCGCCTTCCATAACCCTTTCTTTATTTTTTACTTTGCCTTCTTCGTATAACCCTAATTAGTATACTATTTGTATATATTTTAATCACAAGTATGAAAAATTAATAATTGAACCATGAATCACTAACTTTTTTAGCTCAATATCGAGTCCAATTAAAAACAAATATATATGATTATTACTTATTAGAAAGTTGTCAATTTCCACTATGAGATTTGAAGGCGTGAAATTTTAAGTGAGTTCTATTTTGTATTCCTTTTGCTTCTCAAAAGAGTTTTTCTTTTTCTCCCGGTCTAGAATTTTCAACAATTATACATGGAATTTTTAACAATTATAAATATCAAATAAATAGTTTCCTATTTTCTATAAAAGGTAAATAATTATTATCTTAAATACATCACCATGCAAGGAATTAAGCTTCAACTATGCAAATTACAGTTGGGTACATAAAATCAATAGATCTTTAGATTTATAACCTAATTTTATTTTTTTGGCATATAAGTCCTCAAAATATTGATGGAACATTATATTTTAGTACCTAAATTTTTTTTGTATTATATTTTAGTACCTGAACTTTTGAAGATCTACAAATAGGTCTAATTTTTGTATGTGCGATTAAAATGCACTCGAATAAATTGGTATTCATACCCAACTCATACACATTTAGATTATGAAAGTAAATATCCATACCCTACCCAAACACATATAAAAACTTCCAAACCCATATATACGTCAACCATACCCTACCCAAAATCAATGGGACTACTTGGATTTAGGTAAATATTATTTATTAACCAAAATTTTCAAAGAAATTAAATTGGATATTGACCGCAATATATCTCTTTTCAGCCAATAGTACTAACAAAACTGCTAACAAAAATTTAATTTTAGACAAATAATACTAATAAAACACTATAACGAACCACATAATACATACTAATAGGCCATCTCCGCCCGCGACAAGGCGCGACATCGCCACCCAATACTGAATATAAATAGATAAATATGGAAACGTGTAAAGTAGCAAATGAACAAACCATTACCCAGAAACGTGTTCAAATAAAGCCCAGGGCCAAAACCCTATTTAACAAATTCCGAAATCCCATTGTGGTTTCAGAGGAAGCCCTTTTGCCATTACTCTGCTCTTCGGTATACGGCACAGACTACTGGGCCTGAAACGTCAGCGTTGTGTTCTTTATACTTTATAGCCGATAGCTCAAAGGCCCATCTGCCTTACCGTCCATAGTGGTAGGGCTGGCTATTTGGTCCGGGATTGTTTGGTTTTACCCGAAACCGGCGGTATAACTCGGATCGGTACCGGATAGCAAACAATCCAATCTCATATTCGGGTTAAGATTTTAGGTAAAAAAACCGGATAAGAGACCCCCAACACCTAAAATCAAAATCAAATTAGGACCGGACCGGGTCAAAACCGGACCGGATCAAGACGGATTGTATCCAATCCAATCTTTGGTCCTTATATTCCCGAAAAGACCGGACTGGGACCGGATCAATTTGGTCCAATTTAACCGGACCGGACCGTATAACCACCCCTACATAGTGGTAGCCCATACATTAGGCAGAGCACACATCGTTTGCCTATGGAGATTCACCCTGCCAATGAGAAGGGTTACTACAAGGTTAATATATTTGTATGGTCTGAACTTTGACCAAAATAAACATTCTGGTCAATTTTTTCGATCTATAACATCCTGGCCCAAACTATACATCAAAATAACTGAATTGGCCAAACCCGACATTTGACCGTTAACTTGGACGGTCAAACTTGTTAACTAACGGTCAACGAACCACATCACCGCCCAGTCAACATAAGAAATGTTGAAAAAAAAGACACATAATCTAATTATTTTAATTAAGTTAAAAATAAATATAAAAAGAAAAGAAAAAACAACAAAAGATATAAATGATAATAGGTAGAAAAAATCAAATTTTTAAGTGTTCTGTGCTGACTGGGCGATGATGTGGCGCGTTGACCGTTAGTCAACACGTTTGACCGTCCAAGTTAACGGTCAAACGCCGGGTTTGGCCAATTTAGTTATTTTGCTGTATAGTTTGGGCCAGGATGTTATAGATCGAAAAGATTGGCCAGGATGTTTATTTTGGTCAAATTTTAGGCCATACAAATATATTAACCCTACTAGAAGAGTACAAACAAGTGGTGCCATGAGATATGTATTTAAACTTGGTTGCACCCTAGATGTCGCGCAAATAGCCAAAAGCATCATTAGCTTATGCTCTGACTCGAGTAATATAGGGCTTGTGGACTCTCGTGTGAATTAGAAAGGAATTTTAAAAACCTCTTCCGTAAAAAAAGCACCATCAGAGGTACTCGGTTGATAGGTTTATTATATGTCAGTGCGAAAAACGGATGGAATTTATCATATATGAGCTCGAAGGTTTAGATCTCTTTAGTCCATGCAATGACGAAACTAGCGACTCCCCCTAAAACTCAACATCAGCAATAGCAGGGGGAAAACTACTGATGTGATCTGCTTCGACTACGGATAGGGTTTGGAAAGACGGGTATAGCAACTGAATTCTTGGACTTGTGATGTGAAAAAGAATCAGCTATGAAGCTTCAGTTATATCACCCATGCTTTAGCACACACCATAATGCCTCCTGATGCAACAAGCACCAGTTTGACTTTGATACCTATTCAATTAGGATAGGCAGATTTTTGTCTACCAAATTCAAGCACTTAAGATTTGCCCACAACTCTTATTAGAATATGCAAAGATAAAACAAACCTCGATTTTCACATTTCTGATAAAACAAATTGGAGTTGGGAATTGAAGTCACACTGCAACCTGTTCAACTCGAACGTTACTAGCCGATCATCCCAAAGAATCAACCTTTACGCAGAGAATACAATAAACTCATTGCCAGTTTTCACTATAACATTTACACATTTGACGGGGCAATTGAATTTTACCAAAACAATAGTTGACGGAAACGCGGGGAATAGAAATAAATCACTCACTCGGCTGCTCTTTCGGTAGACTGAGCGAAAAGGAAAAGTATATAAGAACACCACCATTGCTGTCTCCGTTAACAATGGTGGGAACATTCAAACTACAGCAAAGTACAGACCCACCTTTCTTTTCCGTCGTATCATACTCACTGCCACAGCACTGTAAGTCTGTAATGCTCTACTTCCTGCCATCCATCCATCCATCCTCTTCTGTCAAAGCAATAACCTTTCAATTTTATGTTAATAAGATGAGATCCCATCCCTCTTCCCCAATGCATCCATCCAACCAACACCAGCTTAACAAAACCAAACATTCGTTTCCAGATCAACCACTTCACTGTTTCATTCGAAACAGCCATCTTTCCACCTTCCTTTGCCAAGTCAACAGGCTTTTACTGGGCCCCGTCCCGTGCCTCAGCCATGGCAATGGGGCCACTAACAAACCATGTCTCTTTGTTCAACTAACTGGAGCCCAGGGCTTTGCTATGGTGTATTCTTGATGAATTCGACCAACAAATGACCCACGGGAAAAAGCCGAGGAAGAAATGGATAGGACGTTAGGGTGATCTGCTGCTATCTTCATCTTCTTCTTCATCAGATAAAGGGTCTGAATCTTCAGCAAGAGCTCTGAGCATGTGCAAAACATCACTTGTGTCATCCAAATAATACTTGGCTTTGCTTGGTTTCTGGCCCACGGTGCATGCAAATACATAAGTGCTCGATGAGAGTACTCCGCTTGTCGAGGCATTATCGATCCTCTCAAACATGTCTTCATCAGACCTGTCATCACCAATGCACAACACAAAATCGGCCAGTCTTCCCTTCTCGGCCATTGATGTAAATATCTTCTCTGCTACTACACCTTTGCTAACCCCCTGAATAAGATAAGATAAACCAAAGATCAGAACTTGCATACTGGATATACTACGAGTCCTAAGAGATCAACCATTACCCCTGCTCGTGCTGCAAGGGTAATGATCATCCATCACCGAAGAGGATACGAATATACTAGAGTTCTAAGAGATCAGCCATACCCTTGCACATGCTGTAAGTGTAATCATAATCAATCACGGAAGAGGATAAGCACTATTAGCATCTAATAACACGGCAGCTAGTAACCAGTTCAAATAACATAAGCATGTCCTACAAATTTGTTATCTTCCAACCATATAAACGCATTTAACTTCAGCAGTGGGCGCTGACCAACTTTCATCAAATACATTCCAACTTTTGACTTCTACCTTTAAATTCCGAGTTTAACAAGATGTTAAACCTATACTTCACTTTTGCATTCTACCCCTCTTTAACAAAATTATTACGACTGTTTATGGGGTCCTTTAGGCATTTCAAGGACGAAGATGTCTCTAGAATTCCATCTATATTCTAAAACCTGTAGGATCACCTAATAATTTGACAATCATTCACTTATTCTAAAAAAAAATTCACACACTCCACTTCTACTAATTGACAGGTTCTCCAATTGGCATTCAATTGGTTAAATCAAATGAGCCAGCAGGGAACAGCAATTCAGACATCAATTAGGTTCCTGCCTAGTAGAATATGACTTCAATTTGAAAATAATAGCTAGAGAAACTTGGCATGGTTCACCTATGCCGAGATAGTAACTAGCAAAATGTATCAGATTTGGAATTTGCCTGGAAATCAAAGAACAATCATATGAGAGTGAGGAGAGATGCTCACCTGCGGCTTTACTTCCACAATATATTGACCACTTTTAACAGTTACGGGTTCATTTGCAAGCACACTTTCAAGATGGTCCAACATCTCCTTAGCCTGGCTTGCACCAAAACCTGGATCGGCATCTCTATGGTGCCAGACCAAGGCACTCTCCTTAGTCTCAATGTAAGAACCATCTGTTGATTCTGTATACAACTTCATTACGGGCTCAGCTATCTGAAACCATCCAAAATCACAGTTTTGCCCACAGATTTCCCAGTCCTTATCAGCAGACCACCTGTCACAGCATGAAACGTTCAGAAACGGGAACCAAGTTCAAAAGATTAAACAATCATCAAAGACTCGAGTACCACACTACTTACCTCAAGTAGTACCCATGTTCGGCAGCAATTCCAAGTTTCTTGCAAGGAGAGAACCACTGGCCTAAACTATCCCTCCCTCTTCCACTAACAAGAAAAACTGTGTTCTTTGCATCACTGCTGAGGGTATTGATAATTGAAAGAACTTCTTGACTGGGCGACTTATTGATAGATGTTTGAGGCATTACTGTTCCATCATAATCAAGCAAGATGGCCCTCTTTTTGGACCTCAAATATGCACTTACAATTGCATCAATTGACAGCTTTCGGAAATTAGGATCCAGCGCGACAACTCTGAAGCCAAAGCTCAACCCAATGCCCCAACAACGCCTTCTGAAGTGGTCTTTGCATGCCCTCTCCAGATCTTGGAAAAAGCTTCTCGACCAGTATGCCACATCATGCGAACTGACATATCTATAGTGCTTCTCATGCCGCAACTGCTTTTCATTGTCAGACATAGAAATAGCCTCATTCATAGCCTCGGCTGTCGATTCAATGTTCCATGGATTGACCCGAATAGCACCACTAAGTGAAGGGGAACACCCAATGAACTCCGAAACAACTAGCATGCTCTTCTTGGGGACACTGGAGTCTGAACTAGAACTTGAATCAGAGACGCCCTGCCTACACACAATATACTCATAAGGAGTAAGATTCATCCCATCTCTGACAGCTGCCACCACCACACACTCAGCAACATTGTAGTATGCTGTCCTTTCACTAAGGGATACCGGTCTATCGATGAACACAACCGGTTCATAGCCTGGTCTGCCGAAAGTCTCGTTAATCCTCTTGCAGCTTTCTTCAATCTCCGCCTGCACTTCTTCGAGGTCTTTCCCTCTTCCCCTGGCAGGATTAGCAATCTGGACCAGAACTGCCCTTCCTTGCCACTTCGGGTGCTGTTTCAGCATCGCCTCCATTGCCAGAAGCTTCAAGTTGAGACCTTTGAAGATGTCCATATCATCAACACCGAGTAAAACAGTCTTTCCTTCAAACTGTTGTTTCAGCTCTTTGACTCTCCACTCATTATCAGCATGCATCAATACTGTCTCAATCTGTCCCATGTGGATGCCAACTGGCATGATCTTGATTCCAATTGTCCTACCATAGTATTCCAATCCGATATAACCTCGTTTGGACTGATACTCCAAGCCCAACATGCGACTACAGCAAGACAGAAAATGACGAGCATAATCAAATGTATGAAATCCAATGAGGTCAGAATTCAGAAGTGCCTTGAGAATCTCTTCCCTCACAGGCAACGTTCTGTATATCTCCGACGATGGGAATGGACTATGAAGAAAGAAACCCATTCTCAATCTGTTGAACCTTCTCCTCAAGAAGGTTGGTAGCACCATCAAATGGTAGTCATGAATCCAGACATAATCATCCTCCGGATTTATAACCTCAATTACCCTCTGGGAAAATATTTTATTCGCCGCAACGTACGCCTCCCACAAGGATCTATCGAATCGCCCGCCATGACTGGCAGAGAAGGGAAGCATGTAATGGAAAAGAGGCCACAAATGCTGCTTACAGAACCCATGATAGAACTTGGTCAAGATATCAGGAGGCAGAAACGCAGGAACACAATTAAACTTGTCCAATAAAAGCTGGGACACGTCGTCTTGCTCGTTGGGATCAACTTCAACCCTTAAAGAACCAACATATATAACTTCCATATCTTCATGGAAACCATCTTTACACTGTAACAATAAAGAATCATCATCCCAGCTAAAACTCCAACCTTTATTATCGGGCCTCCGCTTGGCCTTCACCGGCAGCTGATTGGCCACGATTATTATCCGGTCCTGGATTAACGAAGACTGCACGTCCGATGCGACGCTGTTAGCCTGATCATCATCAAGCTCGGAGATGACCCCGGGAACAGTCATAACCCGAGGCAGCCTCTTCTTCTCCCGTGGTTGACTCATTATGGGGAAGTTGCCGGAAGCTAGATCCAAGAGATTGGTATACGATTTGGACATCATCTTGACACCCTTTTTCAACTACTTACAAGCCCTCAGCTACCAGGGAACAGAGATTGCAACCCCAAGATCTCAACAAAACCCCAACCCAGCCCACGATTGATATCAGCGGAAACTTAGCAGGATCTGCGCAATGGGCACCCCTGAAAGGAGATAAGGATCAATCCAGGAGAAGACAACCCTAAAACCCAATCAAAAGAGGGTATCAGTAAAACTAGTAGAAAGGTGGATGAGATCCAAATATAGCAAATTAGACCGTGTTAAAAAAAAAAAAAACAGAGGCGAGGACAAAACTAGATAGCATACAGATTGGGAACTTCGGAAGTGACGAATCCAAAGGTTTAAGTAGGTAGAGACGGATAGTAGTAATCGGGAGAGAAAACAAGAGATAAAATCGACGGAAGAGCAAACAAATTGGAGATGGGAAGAACCATCATACACACTAAAAACAACTAACCTCGGGTTCGTTCGAGATTGTGAATGTTTGTAATGGGATTCGAAGAATCAAAGAAATTGGGAAGGAGAAGGAAGCACTGTGTGAGGGGTTTTGGGGAAGGAATTTTGTTGTTTTAATTTGGCAAGGAAGGAAGGTAATCTAGGGTTTGGGTTGGTCCTCTCTACAATCTTTCAAAGGGCTCCTCCCTGCATTTTACATATCTTTTCCTTTCTTTCTCTCTATCTATCTGTACCTGTACAAATTTTCTTTTAACATCCTTTTTCTCGTTTCTTTTTTTTTAATTTGTGGGGGAAAATTCCAAATAAAAAAGATATTCATAATAAAAAAAAAAGGCGGAAAAGGAAAGAGGATAAGGTCGGCCAGGCAGGCAGTAGGCAATTGTTATGCACAGTGATGCCAGCTGGCAAGGACTTTCGCTCTCCGTCACGCGCTCTCGTGGTAACTCCCTCGGCCTTGGCGCGGTCTGACGTGTCGGGACACGTGTCGTGAGGGCACGTCCCTGTGGAATCCCCCGCCATCCGATTCCATTTTTCCAGTGAAGGAAACAAAAAAAAAGAAAAGGGAAATTGCTGGGAGGGTTCATTGGGCAACTGGGCATTGATTGGGAAGCAATTATGTGTACATTACACAACCTCAAAAAAACCCATCTGCCGTCGTCTCCCTTTTCCCTCACTGGTAACAGTACTACGGCTCTTATCTTCTTCCCAACGAGACTTCCTTTTCTGGCTCTTTTTTCCCCTTCACAAAAGGAATTGGAATTCGAATCGAACTAGTAATAATGTAGAGGTTGTGGTGGTGAAAGTAGTTGTGGTAATAATGATGAAAACCAGCTCGGATGTGGTAAAGAATCAGGACGAATTTTGGACCAGGTTTTGTTTAGTTTTGGTGATATTTAAATTAATGCATTGTAATATACATATAATTATTGAAGATGATGTAATTTATTTTGTATTTTTTTATTTTGATGATAGTTCTTTTAGTATTTAACAAGTTATATTACGTTTTGTGAGAAAGATCTCTTTTGTGACCTTACTGAGTTACTGTTATTAGAACATAAAGATATAAATGGGGTATAATTGAAACAAAAAAGGAACCCAACAATTTCATCAAAACTATCTCAACAATCTCAAGTCTTAGTAGAGATATTACTATCACTCATTTTGAGTGATAGTTTCCATCACATCAAGCAAACAATGCATGTATTGTTTGTGCAGAAAATTCAAAAAAACAATGTATCGTAGACAATGCATGCATTGTAACTATTCCGACCAAACAATCACCAAAATCAAACGAACCCTAAACACCAATAGGGATAGTTTTGGATGCGTAAATTTGATACTAGAGATTTGGATATAAAATTCTCACTTAAAACTATATGGATGGCTTAAATGAGTGATTTATTGTGTGGATATATGTGTACAAATAATGTATTTATTCAACATTTGTTATTTCAAAGTTATTTGGAATTGGAATAATTTCAATTATCTTGTTTAACTGGAGGGTTATTTTGTATGTGTTATTTACTTATTTCTGTTAAAAAACCGCAGTATTATCCTCAACACATCCCCATTCCAGCAACCTTCATTGTCCTCGTCAACCTTCTTCCACTTCCACCATTCTATTTACCATAAACAATCAAAACCATGAAAGGAATAAAAGAACTGAACTACAACATAGCTCAATTGAAGACCCGGGAAAGTCCATTCTTCATATTCTCTTAAGTTATCATTGTAGTTAAGTAGGTAGGTAATTTTCTAGATTTGTGCAACTTTCACTGATTTGTAGATATATAAACGTCATGGGGCACAAAGAGCCCTTTGCGTGTTTTTCTCACAAATATGATCCTCTTATATCTTTCTTACGAAGAAATTGGTATCACCTAACGCAATCTCGAATCCTAACAGTCTATTCACAATATGGCCGCATATAGGATTAAAGTTACTGTTGATGACACTATCGATTGTGTTACTTGATCGTGCACGGTGAAAATTTTGTGATCATTTTGTAAAAAAACCTAACCCCTGCACAGTTTATGCTAATTGCCGATTAGTAGCTGCATGTAGCTGTTTAGCATTAGCGCTTGGATTCTACTCATTCCGAAGTAGCTAAGCTAATACAATTAGTCAATTTACCGTTCAAACGTCTTGGTTTGACCTGACCTTCTCCCTTCCTCATTACGCGGAATTCATGGTACGATCACTGCTTAATTATCTGGAATTAATAAATTAATTAAGGAGGGAAGGTCGTACGTACGTACTTAATTAACCCAACCCAACCCAACTCAAAGACAGAGAGACAGCCAGCCGGAGGCCAATTAGGATTTGATTCCTTTTGTTTATTATCCCTCAACTAGCTAGCCTACCTAGCTGGGCTTTAATTAATTGATTAATCCTGGCGATAATCCTAACCCATTTCCAATCTACACAATAAATAAAAGCCAAATGAGAAAACTTGAAGCCCCATTTCAAATTTCCTGCATCCAGAGTGAAAGTAGGAAGGGTAGATTCGTCTTCACAGTCATTTATTATTTTCTTATTTACAGAAAAAAATACATCAGTAATGAGATTTGAACCGTGGTCTCTTCGAACAAAGATAAGAAACATAACCACTTACAATAAACACATTTGTGAGATATTTTTCAAATAAAACATACAGAAGCTTACATCTGAAAAATATAAGACTTTTCCACCACGGTTAGCAACCGAAATGTCATTGATTCAAATATTTCATATATTGAATTGCACTCTTGAATGTGTAGAAGCGATGTAGAATTCTTAACATAGACTTAATTGTTATAACTATCATAAAGTAACGATATTTTTAAACACAGAACTTTTGAGTGAATATGGGGCACATGTGTCTTTAAGAGAGGGGTAAATATGGAAAGGTTGAGTGATGTTGGTTTGCCAAACGCGGATGGAAAAGACACTACTAATGTAAACGGGTCCAAATAGTGCTCCGACCCACTAAACGCTCAACCATCGCCGTCTCTCCAAACTTCTCATCAGACTCAACAACCGGCTAACCTCCTCAACCTCTATTGTTAAGCCAGAGCAGTTTTTGGAGGGGTAAATATGGAAAGATTGAGTGTTGTTGGTTTGCCCAAAGCAAATGGAAAATGTGCTACTAATGTAAATAGACCCAAATAGTTTTCGACCCACTAAACACTCAACACCAGGTTACTTTCGCTACACCTAATATAAGAGTGAAATGGGAAATGTGCTTCCCCCATTACAAAATCCCTGCATCCATAGCAAAAGTAGGAAGGGTAGATTCATCTTCACTTTCATTTATTATTTTCTTATTCACATGATATATAAGTGACCGGATTTGAATTTTGTCTCTTTGAGAAAAGACAAGAAACATAATCAATTACACAAAACAAATTTGTTTAAACTTTTTAAATTAAAAACATATAAGAAGCTTAAATCAGAAAAATCATTGGAATTTTACATCACAGTTAGCTAAGCCACTAACTCTCCCCTAAATATTTTTTTGGTATTTGATACTTTTATTTTCATACTTTGATTATTTTAATTCGAGTTTAACAATTAATTCTGTTTCTCTTTATCTTATAAAAGGAGAATAATTTTAAAATCGCAAGCCTAATGTCATTGGTGCAAATATTGCACATTAGACTTAAATAATATAACTACCAAAAAGCAACAATATTTTTGAACATATAAGTTTTGAGTGAATATGTGGCACATGTGTCTTTAAGAGGGGTAAATATGGAAAGGTTAAGTGATGTGGGTTTGTCGAATGCGGATTGAAAAGCCGCAACTAATGTAAATAGGTCTAATGGTGTCCCGACCTACGTACTGAACGATCAACCATCGTCGTCTCTCCAAACCTTCCCATCGGACTCGACAACCGCCTAGCCTCCTCCACCTATATTGTTAAGCAAAGCAATTTTTGGAGGGGTATATATGGAAAGATTGAGTGTTCTTGCTTGGAGAGCTGACTGGTGGGTTATTTAGTTTCTTTGACAGTAATGTGTGATCTCTTAACATCAGTTCATTTGGTTGATCTTCTAGGCTGACTTTTGAGTTTATTAAAGATAAACAGTGTCCCAGGCTCCCGTCCTACTAAAGGATCAACCATCATCGTCTCTCCAAACCTTCCCATCGGACTCGACAACCGCTATCCTCCTCCACCTATATTGTTACACAAAGCAATTTTCAGAGGGATATATATGTAAAGGTTGAGTGTTCTTGCTTGGAGAGCTGACCGATGGGTTATTTAGTTTCTTTGATAGTAATGTATGATCTCTTAACAGCTGTTCATTTGTTTGATCTTCTAGGTTGACTTTTTAGTTGATTTAAGATAAATAACTATACTTTTTGTTGCTTTTGTTATGATACTCCTTTTCAGTATCATCATTTTTCTGATTTGAAATGATTTGGTGGTTAGTTTCCAGTAAACAAAGAATATTCTTATTAGTGTTAACATAGGGAATAGCTTCAATCATACCACTTTTACACAAAATTTATATGTAAGAGTTGAGATCATTGCCGAATTGAACTATTCAAGCTATAATACTGATCTTCAACATATAAAACATAGTTTATTTTGAGTGAAACAACCTCATGACTGCAGATAAGTTTTTACAATATGATGTTTTGTGATAGTGTTTACTTGCTTCCAGATTTAAAAGTGGGGTTCTAATTACTACAATCTACACATAATATAATAGCATGAAGGAAAAAATTCTTCCCCCATTTCAAATTTCCTGCTCCATGAGCGTTTGTAGGAAGAGTATAATAGGAAGTGTCAATTGTTTTCTCTTTCCTCTGTGGAACGAGCCAACTTACCGTACACGTGCGGACTTGAATGGGCCCAGAGATTGTTGTGGCCCACAAAAAAAGAACAGGTTCCAGCCATGGCCGCATCTATTTCATGCCTCCATAGCGATCACCGTAACCGAGTCTTGGTGGCTCCGATGCTGGATCTGGACTCCACCAACACCGAGAATAAATGAGATAATTAGAGAAAGAGAGCTTCATAATTGTCTACAAAATAATTTCCCCAATCCTTCTTCCGTGTGCTAATCGCCTTATCTCTTCCCTATGAAAAGAAATCCAAGCATACTAAAAAGATCCAGTCATGCTCATGAAGAAGGGTGATAAATTGCATGCAAGTAAAATTTAAAGATTGAGTCATTTAATCAAATCATAATCAACCACCCCTTTTTCCATCATCTGTAA